CTCAGGCTCCCCCAAAACCTCATGCTTGAACCGATACACAATATCACTAAACCTGCCCTCCGGGAAAACATAAAGCCACGTCATGGTCTCCCCGCCGTCGCAAAACACACCGTGCTCCGCGTCCCCGGGAATCCACACTAGCTGGTCCTTGGACACGGCGTGCCGGACGCCGTTGATCTCGACTTGTCCGCTACCGGAGAGCACGTAGTAGATCTCGGCCTGCTTGTGGCGGTGTAGCGCCAGGCTTCCGTTGGGCGGGCAGGTCGCCACGCCGGAGCTGAGGGAGTCGGTTACTGTCCCCGGGGCAGAGACGAGGGTGTGCCATGTTGCGTTGCCGCGGGACTGTTCGGGAAATGATTCTGGGGGATTTGTTGTGGAGGATTTGAGGTCTACTATGAGGGGCGATTCTGGAGCTTTTGATGCCATCTTTCTTTGCGTTTCCTTTGTTGTTACGGCACAGAAACTTAGAAAAGTTGTCGTCTACAAGGCACACAGTTTCTACGGTGTTGTTGGTGATGAAGAATTGTGTTCGTGGGGGTTTATATCATTCGTCATCTACCCCTCCTATTCCGACTCCGGTGAGCTAAGAACAAGACGCCGTCTCATCCAATTTTTTACGTGACGATGGTGTCCGTTGTTCGTACTATATTGGTCGGCGATGTGGAGACCCACACCACCAGTCCGGCAAGAAATGCCTTGTTTGGCATGTCGAGCCTCGGGGTCTCAACTCTTTGTCCGGATAAGATAACTACAATCAACGACTTCCGTTGCACCAAATGCTTCATCGATTGGTGCTGATATGATAATATTTCCAGGTATGTTGCTTGTAGACAACGCGAGGGGACCTCGGTGAAGGGCTTATGATGATACGCTCACCAATGAGGAGGCATTCTGTCGGAAAGTATACTGATAATAGATGTGGGCGTAGCTAGAAGCTTTCTGTATCGGTCTTGTGAATGATACCAAAATAATCCCACTCTATCAGCACCAAGGCTTCTGATAGAAATAACCTGGCTTTAGGCCCACAGATTGATGACACCGAAAGACCAATGCATCATCCGAATAGTTTCGCAGCATTGCTCCTTCTCACAGCTTCGACCTTGCTGGTGTCGTTGAAAGCCTCCTCAATATCTTGATCAAACTTGACTCTTCCAGCCTCAGCCATGGCCCAAGGCGTGAAAGGCGTATCCGTCCCCCACAACAGCTTCTCATAGCTCACCCACCGAAGCAATGGAGGAATCGCCCAGATAACCGGCCAAGGTCCAGCAAGGTCAAAGTAAAAGTTTTTTGCTAATGTAGCTTTCATAAACGACTCCGTGAGATTGACATCCGGCGTGCTATAACTGACAATCCGATCCAGAGTAGGAACGAGACCGCCGCCGGCATGAGGCATAATCCACTTGATGCGAGGGAATCGCGTCGGAATCTTGGAGTAGAATAAGTCTGCAAATGTGCGTGCTGTGTCAAAGGGGAAGTCGATTGTCGGCGCTCGTCCTTGCCGTCCTGCCACCGGTCTGTTCAGGGTAAGCCATTCCGGCGGTGCGATACCGGGGTCTTCTCCGTCGATTGAGAATCTCAAGTGGTTGTGCTCGGTACAAGGTGCGGTAGGATGCTCAAAGATTGTGGCGTTCACCTCGTTCAGTGCCTTGTACACTGGATCGAGGTCCGGGTCGCCGAGGTACATCCCGTAAAAGTTGGACATGAGCACGATGCCGTCAGGTTTCGGGTCGAGTTGGGTGAAGCAGTATTTGATTTCTTCGACGGACGCGCTCACATCTGGGAGGGGAAGGGATGCAAAGAAGCCAAAATTGTCGGGATACTTGAATTTTAATCCTGATGCATATTCGTTTACTTGACGTGCGAGTTTGATGGCTTTCTCAGTCGCGTACTTTGATGGTACGGACAGGTATACCCCCGGGCTGGAGATGGACAAGTACGATTTCTCGATATCCTGGGCATCCATGAAGTTGAGATGTGCCTCGGGCGTCCATTCCTATCACCCCGTATAAGCATATCGCAGAGCCTTTCCAGGTGCTCGTAGGGATAAATACTGACGGGAATCCCGGGCATGCCATCGGGCCCAGGTGAATGCCCAGCGTCTCTGAGCGCTTGCGCATAGAAGTCTGGGACGTAGTGCGCATGCACATCTATTTTTAGTTTTGAGGATTCCATCTGAGTGCCTGCCAGTGCGAGACTCAAAAGTTGGCCGACGATGATGAAGAAGAGAAGAGGCATGACTAGTTGTGGATTGAACTTAACGTTCCCGCCTTGGGCGAAGTTGGTGCCAATGCGAGATCAAAGCAGTAAGCTTAGTTGACATCTTCAGCTTAGGCACTTAGGCGAGCTGCAGTGATTATCAAATACATGTGAAGGACGCCAAGGCACCAGCACATGTCTCCTGATCCGAAGCCTTTCCACGCCGTTTCCTGCGCTGCGTCACAATGGCCAGGTTAGGTTGCTTTTGTCTCGCAGCAGCGCGCATAGCGGCAGATACGAGACGCCACGCTTACAACTGTCTAGCAGTCTTCCGCGCAAGTTCGTTACTTACATGCAGCCGTGTCGATCGTCACTTACAACGGTGGGGAGATGGGACGGGTCCCATCGACTTGCCAATTGGCTCTTTCTAAGATTGACGTCCACTCGCTCATGATGACCATGTGCCGCATCTTCAGGGGTGGCTTGATCGCGAAACAAATTAACAAATTGCGCTTATCTTTGAAGCACTAATAATGGACGAGTTTATCGATCAGGTCTCCCTCTTTATCTCATTATCATATGCTAGCCACCAATCCTACATTCCTTTCCGCTGGAAGCAATTACTTCAGACCGCTCAATTCTCTTCTAGGCCAGGCCCTGTGAGTGGGCGATGGGAATGTTCGGTCCCATGACCACTTCTTTACCAAAGTATCCTCGAGAGATCCGTCGAGCATCTGCACGACATATTTACCCAGGATGGGCAGGAACTTCCAGCCGTGGAAAGATCCGCAGGTTGCGACGTAGAGGTTCTTGCTTGCAGAGTGTGGGGAGATGATAAAGTCTTCATCGGGCGTGACAGCCTCCCTAACACATGTATTAGCAAGACATTGCATCTTTCATCTTGACTCGAGTCCTTCAGGAGCCTCTATACATACCAGCAGATACGATAGTTCTCGTTCTTGAATGTTTCGCTTCCTTTCCCAAACAGGCTCTTTCCAGCATAGTCAACATCTTCTTTCAGAGTATCTGGTACGTCGAGCTGCGCATAGTCAACTGCCGGGGGAGGTGCAGATATCTGGCTTCCGTTTGCATGAGTCTGAGTGTTTCTGAAGATGATCTGACCCCAGAACTTCAAGGTCTTGTCTTTGGAATGGGGAACACTTCCGTTGCTTGCGCCTAGGATAAACTTTAGTATTTAAAACACAGCGGGGTTGAGTTGGAGCCAGCTCTTCCATACCTCTCGATGGAGGCACCATGGAGATGCCAACTGGCCCGTCGTAATAGTCCTTTGCATTCTCCCCAGAGACAGGCGTAAACCCCTCGGTAACAGCTGCTGCTACGAACCTGTCACCAGCTTGAAGATCTTCTCTTGCGGGTGCGCTATCAGCAAGCAACTTAGCCGTGTAAGCGCCTGTTGACAGAATGACTCGTGAGGCGGTAAGACTCTCGCCCTTTGACGTCTTGATACCGGTTGCAGCACCATCGTCGTCGAACTCGATTTTTTCAACTTCTGCCTCAATGTACTTCACCCCGAGCTTCACAGCCTCTTCGATCGTTCTCTGCAATGCCTCCTTCGCCTCAGCCCATCCACTATTCTTATTGACAAAAACCTCCTTCACATCAGTGAAATCAGCATCCTTGAAGATGCCGCCATACTGCTTCTTCGCCTCCCCGACAGAGAAAGAGAATAACCCAGAGTCGACTCCGAGCTTCTTGTAGTTCTCTTGCATTTGTTCTGCAAAGTTGTTTGGCGAGACCCAGTAGACGCCGCTTTCGTGGTAGTATGGTTTCCAGATCGGGTCCTCGGACCAGTACTTTTTGGCTTCGAGGCAGAGGCGCATGTACTCAATATCAACATAGTCGGCGCGCACGACCTTGTTCCAGTCCCAGGAGGCGGCGACGCGGATCGGGGCGTCATAGGCGTTACGGTCTACGAGGGTGATGCTGGCGTCGGGATAGGCGCGGACTAAGTGCAGGGCTGTGGAGGCGCCAAAAACGCCAGCGCCTACGATGAGGTATGACCCTGTTGAGGCGGCCATTTCTGCAATACGGAAGTGTGTTAGCTTGTTGATTTTGAGTCTGCGAAAATCAGACTAAAGACTGTGTTCTCAATAAGTCCGAGTGAGTCGCATCTTGATCCCCGTTGTCGGACACTGCCCGCACTTCATCCCCATCTTATCTTCTGACGTCATGTGATCAAGTCGGCACGCAATCAACTTTGGGCCGAACAATCTCCACTGCAACATGGAGCAAGTCACATTCATCAGTATTGTCTCGAAGATATTGGTGGAGGCATAAGTTCATAGCACTCCTGCCTTTGGCACACCTCAGAGTTGGGCTCTATCCAGAATACCACGCTGGGGATGAGAAGTGAAGGATTCATCTATGGATCTTTCCCCAACTATGTTAAGTGATCAACCCTTGGAATCCAGTGAGTAAATTGAGAGTATCCCTCCATATCGTCTGTAATGTCGTCGGCGTCGTCGGCGTTACCATTCAACCCCCAGACCACAACAGTCTCCATGGTCTCAACAAGACTTTTAGGGTGAGACTTCCATTGTTCGCGAATGAGGCTCTTCGCTCCGCCTTCCATTTCGTTTCATTGCTGCTCATCTCACATTACATAGCCCCATCGCCCTAACTCTTCTGGCGCAAACCCTCCATGAACGTTGGAGTACTGTTCATTCCATGACAGGACCCACGCCAGCGGTGGTGAAAAAGGTGGCACGCTAACACCCATGAACTTCAGCGAAGTCTTGGCCCTTTCAAGTTTGTCCCCGGCAGGTGTCAGCCCCGAACTTCGATCATCGAATCTTGGGATTGGTATCCGCAACGTCATCCTTCACCTCATCTGAAAGTCTGTCGTACTTGGATTTGATGAATAGGTAGATGGACACAAACGCCTCTACGTCCCATGGATCAAAGCTTCCGAAGAAAGTATCACAAATCTTATCACTCCGAAAGCCATAGGACTGCACACCCTTGTTTCGACCGAATAAATGGCAATATGTCTCGAAGCGGTAGATTGCCCTGTAGATGCGTATCTCCTCACTTCGGCTAAGACTTGTGACGTTGTCGGCTTCTGTTCTTGTCGGAATGTCTCCCCCGACGTGAATTACAATACAGATAACACCACCTGCCGGAGGTTTCCAAGCGCCCAATTCGCGTACAGACGAGCGATGGGTCGAGCTACAGAAACATGAAAAGCCGCCATCCAGCGAATTTGACCGCCGCTAGGTCTGTCGAAATCTCCAACATTATGTTTCCCTGAGAGTACGGTATCACAAGCGTCGGACAGGAACCGTTCGCACATATCGTCGGTTCGCTTCGGTCCGAAAATTGCTACCCGAGACCTAAGGATGGCGAAGGCGTCAATATAATACCCATCAAGCTCCTTGCTCAAACAGGTGAAAAGCAGAGTATCGCGGGTCTTCCTGTACTGTGCATGCAGCACAGGAGATGCATTTATAACACTATGAAGCGTCGGTAGATCCGACATCCACGATAGAAGAAGAAACCGAAGCTTGGCTGGTAAAGATTTCAGACGAGAACTGGTTTTTGAGTAATCGCAGACAGCCTTATTTTCGAAATGAGAAGAGATCTTCAGAGAGTCCGAAGCAGTCTCAGCTACTAGGCCATCTGGAGTAGATTCTTTCCCCAGACAAGGAGTGGTCTCCAGGTGATTGGAAGTACCTTCCGCTTTTAGGTTACAACAGGACTTCGGAGAAGGGGAAGAGTCTTCCGTCTCCAAATAGGGAGAGTCGTTCGGGTGATCTGAGGCAAACTTACTGTTATGACAAAGGGATTCTTCCAGTGGGCCACGAGCAATTCCTCCTATGAGGTAATAAGAGGACTTTCTCCGGTCGAGGTTAGTTTCGTGTCCAATGCGGGGTGAAGGGCCAAGAGGATTGGAAGCGGTCTGATCTTTGGGGTGACAAGAGAGCTTTGGGAAATCGTCAATACTCTCGATTTTGATGTCAAGAATTTTCTCCATGCTCTCGGTCATTGTGTTCATTCTCTCTCCATCATCGTTGCCACTTCGAATGCGGCAGGGTTCGCTGTCGTTGTCATCTTCTGTCGACATCGTTTCGCATCTTGGTAATAAAGCAAAGTCTTTAATCTGAACATGTGTATGAAGGAGAAAAATGGTCCTATGGATTACTTTGGCACAGTCGAGGAAGGAAAGAGAGAGAGATCAAGATTCAGGTAATGGTGGGGTTGTGTTTGTGAAGAGGAAGAGATCGCGTTGCTGAGCCACTCGCTGGACTTAGAGTGTGCCAGTCTTGTTACACATTTTGTCTCTTTGTAGCTCGATGCGATAATACAAATTATGTTATACCAAGGGAGATAGCTTGCACTGCGATCTAGGCTCACAATCCCAGCCACAGTCATCAGTTGACTGAGTTGCTTTGCCGCCGACATCGGCACACTACATGTCGTCCGGGTTGGCTCTAAGCTATGCTAGGCAAAAGATTACTGACAAGACATCGTTAACATCTCATAGAGATGTCCAAGATGCCTCGACATTCGATACCATGCATCTAGGAGCTCCGGTAGGCAGTGGCTAATGTGAACTCCCCACCTGTGAATCGTATTAATCTAAGAGTTCCGGTTGTATGAGTGAATAAGCGCCTCATCATGTAGTCAGTATCATGCTGATTGCATGTTATGATATGTTCCATTGGCGCGTGTGTAGAGCAAAGCTTCTCTACATGTATTGTTCTTACATCAATGCCCAATCAAGTGCGTACTCGGACTTGACATGAAAGCTTCACTGCCGACAATTCCCTCCGACTTTCTTTCACTTCTCAGATGGAATTAAGAAGATACCTTTCAAGCAACGACCTTTTTGTTCATAAGTGGCATCGATTTGAATGACCCGTAAACTTCATAACAGCATTTGTTCTCGACCCATGACAATCACCAATACCACACGTTACGCCATAAACTCGACCCAATGATATCTGCTGCCTGTTCTCCAAGCGCATAAGTGGCTACCTGTAGGTTCGCCGAGATAGGAACGGGGAACACGGACGTGTCGACGACACGAAGGCCCGATACACCCATCACTCGTAGGTCGCTGTCCACTACAGTGCCCATGGCGGCTGTGCCGGCAGGATGATAACATCCACTACATGATATACCGCGTCAGTAAGATCATAAGCCGAAAAATGTTGTAGAAGTGTGTAGAAGAAAGTAAGTATACGAGGAAGTGACCTACCCAGTGTGACCGCGTACCAGGGCGTCGACCTCTTCATCGGTGGAATCCACCGTCAGTGGATGATCCGTTCCATCGCCGTCAATAATCTCTCGACCCATAATGGTCATGTTGGATGACATGAGCCTGATAGCCTCCCGTATCGTCTCTCGTGCGGCAAATCGGTCAAAGTTGGAACCCAGAAAATTCGGGTCGATAACAGGGTCGTCCTTTATATCGGCAGACTGGATCGAGACGGACCCGCGACCAGTGGTAATAAGAACGACGGAGACGAGCATGATGGCAGATCCGTCGGCTGAGATCCCGCTATATAGGAGTTGATGTGAGGAAACGGCACGGTCCCGATTCAGAAGTGGGTGCAGCATCGGGTTGGGGGAGATCCCGCCTTCGTCCTGTGCAATGGCATCTGCGAGGCCTTTTCTGGGAAGCTTGGTGGCGGTGATGAAATCGCCGAAGCCGCCAAGATCGTACTGGGGCTGCTCAAATAAAGGATTGCCTGATCCCTTGGCCCAACCAGCGGAAGGATCGGCGAAGTGCCAGAATGTGGGGAGGAGGATGTGATCATGCAGGTTCTGGCCGACGGCTGGCTGGTCCAGAATGACGTTGATGCCGTGCTCTCGGAGCATGTCTGCCGGTCCGATGCCGGAAAGCATCAATAGTTTTGGCGTATTGTAGGCGCCTGCTGAGAGGATCGTCTCACGCGCAAAGATCTTTGTGCCGTTCTCGAGTTGTATGCCGCGGGAGACAAGGGGACCTCTAGGGGACCGATCCACCAGGATACGAGCGACGAGGCTGTCAGTTAGAACGGTGATGCCGTCGAGAGAGTAGACCTGTGATGCCAGCTGGCGCTTGCCGTGGTGTCTGTTTTCTTGGATGTTGCCTACGCCGAGATTATCGCCGCAGTTAGAGTCAAGAGAAGGCAATGGATTGACGTCGAGTTCTCTCCACGAGTCCATCAGCGGCTGGCGCAGTGGAAAGATACGGCCCATTTCCACTGGTGTTTCGACCTTGACTGGTCCCTGATGCCCATGAACCGACGGGTTTGTGGTTTGGTCCCAAAGCGTCTCCGTCTTCCTCATGTATGGCAGCTGGCCCTCATACGTCCACCTCTCGTCGTCTACCATCTCGCCCCAAAGGTCGTAGTCGACCTTGTGGCCGCGAACCCAAGCGCCTTGTTCATGTCTCGTAAGCGAGGATCCGAAAGTCAAAAGTAAGTTGAAAGACGTGGGCTATGTGCCCGTCATATTTCTAGCCACTTACCTCCGTTAATGGCAGTGCCACCACCCAGCCCCTTGCCAGCGAGGGAGGACATAGTTCGATTGTCAACATTGACTTGTGGCACTGAAGTAAACGACCATGTGTGATTACGGGTCACTTCGGGGTCCGTTTCGATTGCCTTCAAGTCTACAAGCTCATGAGTGTTGGGGCCCGCCTCAACTAGGAGTATCTTGAGGGTCGGGTCTTGCTCAAGGAGTCGGTTTGAGACGACGGACCCCGCAATTCCAGCTCCCACCACAATGCAGTCCCAAATGATCATTATGATGGAATTCGAATTTGTCGTGCTTGAAAGAGGGAGAATCGGGCTGAGTGGGCGAACCCAAAGGATTGTTTTCCCGAGGAGACGAGTTGTTAAGTACTCACTTCTACACACGCCCGGCAGAACTGGGCTTCAAATTTACGGGAAGGGGTAGAGTTAACATCTGGAAACCAAGGGATGGAGAGAAACATGATTCTCCATCGTGTGTCAGACAGTGGAAAACAGCTTTATAGGGGGAATTCGAGAAAATACCATGAAACTCTTACGCGAAGTGGTCGTGGTGGTCACGGCAGTGGGTGTTGCGGGCATCTAGGGATGTTTTTGGAATGTTGGCAGGTACGCTGTGTAACGGTGACACAGAGCCGAGATGTTGAAGTCTCAGGACACCCCGTGATGCGGACACGTAGATCCTCGCCGATCTTATTTTTCACTCGATAATTGATAGGTAGAATAGCTTTCAAGCTATGACCGAAGTACCGCTTGAAGATGCTCGGCATAATGCATTGAAGTGTTATAGCGGTGTTGCTGTCGCTAGATGGTGGTATCATCAAACTGAGCGACTTGTCTCTAGTAGGTGGTCATGCCGCTGTTCATAGACATCCTCTCTTTCATGCTTGTCGCTGCTTTGAAATGCTCCATGCACTTGGGCAGCAAAAGTCGAGTAAGATCTAATCCTGTTGATTCTTAACCGCGTGTGAGTCGAAAGGCCACGGAACGATAATCTCCGAAGTCTTGACTCTACAATCAGGGTAAAGCCCAGTCATAGCTGGACATAGTATAAGGTAGCATCCAATAATGATTATCACAATAGAGCGGTGATCCATCGGTTCTTTGTGAGATCATGAGTCAAGTCACAGGAAACCACCGATAGCGACGGCTGTAACGAAACAGAATACATCAGAGATTTGTCCAGTCGCCGTATAAGCTACATGACGCATGCTGCTGGATGAACATACTGAACGTCAATGAAGGACAGTAAAAGGAGCTTGCCAGTTGTAGCCCTTGTTGAGTTTGAACTACATTATCCATGAAATTTCGGCAGACAACAAATAGACCAATAGGACGAGAAATTTTGGGTTTCCCAGCAGAAAGGGGAAGCCTACTGCTATTTGTCTCAATTATACTCTCCCTGGGTGAGTGGCTGTCACCAGACGTCTGCCCCTGAATTCGAATAGAAGTTGAGTGCGCTTCTTCTGAGCTACGGAAGTCCCATCGAACTAGGCTGGTTGCATGATAGGCAAATAGTCTGCCTCTCGAGAGTCTCTAGCAGGCTCAGTTGAATCCTCAACTCGGCTTGGCTGGTAATCATTCACATCAATTAAAACGCTCACATCCCTATATAAGAGGCTTTCGACCGCTACCGGCTCGCTTTTGATTGAGGCTCCATAGTGGATTCCCTACAATCCTCACTACATGTGCCGGATTGATTCCCCACTGGCGAAGGTCAAAGTTGAATGAA